CGAGAGGACGAAAGGCGAATGTACGATGCTTTGACCGGGTTGGTTGATGTGAAGGACCTACCTAGGGGAGTTGAAAAACTCTGATTCCAAATCAGTGATTCACATGAGCTCAAGTATCCTGAAAGAACAAATAGCGTATAAACCTGTTGTTGGTAACCGGCTACCATGGGACTGCATCTACTAACGTGCTTACATGCCCTGTGGATTAGACTACTAGGTGGAAGGCTCGGGGAGTGGTCTCCTAAGAAAACTACCTGCCTGGACAGGGCAGTATCACAGCCCTCACACAAATTGATTGACAAAGTGTGCGCATATATATTTGATGCCTCCCTGTACTGTTTGATAGTCTGAGTGTGAAACTTCAAATTACATTGTTTGTCGTATAGTTTGTTTCTTTAAATATAGAGATGAACGACTTGAAACATGAAAATCTTTATGGACAAATTAGATTTTGTTTTTCTGTGACCATAATTTAACATAGCAAATAGCATATAATATCTATCTACTATCAATCAAATTTCCATATTAATATGAGAATGAGCACTTATATAAAGTAGTTTTAAATGGAGTTGGACGCTGACAAACAGTGAAATCAGGGAAATGTTTTTTGTAATATTTGGGGCTTATCAGATGGATTTACCTGCATCTCGAAAATGAATCGAACCTGATACCGTTCTCTTTAAATGCTATTGCGTGATCCACTTAGTTATTGAGTCCAGATAGCCACTAGCTTGTTCAATGAGCTGAAGTTTTAATTCATTTTTATATTGGTCGTGTGATACTTCTCATTGATCAGTCTCATAATGGCATAGTTAACCCTAAGCAGATTACCTCGATGTGTATATGTGCCAAAAATACACTGATTAACCACAATCTAAAACATTGATGAGAAAATTCAAACAACCAATACAAATAAAAATATAAAGTACTTTCGTTCAATCCATTATAATGAATTTTCATAATACTAAGGAAGAACCAAACATACCTATACATCTCCTTTAATTGCATCTCTAAGATGATGGATCAAGAACAAATAACGTTTAACAATCAGGTCTTACTGAATTCACTGGAGAGTGAATTACCTTTAGAACTGACATATTATGCAATCGTTCATAATATCTAAGCATATTTACTTTGTAATACCATTTTATTTCATGGTAAAACCTTCTATGATGGGAAGTTAAATTGTCTTCTATTATCGGATCAATTGATGGTTTACATTAATAATCCCAGTCTCGTAATTTATAGTTATTGATGTGTGGGTGAGAATGATAATAATTGGTTGTTTGCTTAATCAGACTTGTAGATAGTCTGACAGACGTTAGATGAGTTATATATTCTCCTGTTTTTCTTATTATTGATAGTGTTGGATTGTGTCGGTTTTTGGTGTGGAAATATATTTAAGTTATAGTCAGGCTAATCATGTGTTCTTGATCTGAGTTGTGTTGAAGTCCTGTAAAATAGACACTGGGAGAGAATCTAGTCTAGATATTCGTCCAAGGTAAATTAACGTCCCATACGTGTATGCGAAATAAACCAAGAGTTATAACAGTTATCAATTAAGCAAAGATAGATAGTGGCAAGTAGTGGAATCCAGTTTGACGCGCGTTTTATCCTATTTGGGACTCGTCAGCTGGATGTACCTTCATCACAGAGTTGATGTTCACTCTGGGACTCGAACCCAGTACACTTCGCTTCAAACGCCATCGCGTTATCTAGCTGACGAGTCCCAAATAGGACGAAACGCGCGTCAAACTGGATTCCACTACTAGCCACTATCCATCTTTGCTTATAATGCTTGTAAATTAAGGCTATATCGAAGCAATACGCACAGTATGCACATATGTCAATAAAAGACTGACCAGTTGCAGTCCTAAACATCAATGGGAAGATTCGAACAAACAATACTAAATGAATCATATAGTGAACAGTTAATTTACAAAATAACAATCAATTGTCTCAATTCGACTGTTTCTTCTGCAAATATCCGTCCATAGTCTCCGATTATAATTGTTCTTGCTTATTCGTACCGATTGAGTGCCGTTCCCGTTCTCTCGTTATCGATCTTCTATTGAAATACATTTTATGTCTGACCATCACCATATACTACTTATGTGGATATCAGTAACTCACACCACAATATGACTTTACACTTTTACACAGAATTAGTAAGAAACAAACATCGTATGCTTAAAATTAAGTGAGCAAACTCAAAATCACCAATATGAGATGTGTTTTTTAAAAAAAATGACAATCAAGAAGTGCTCAATATCCATAGATTAAACAAAGTCTGAGGCCTAAAATCTACCATTGCAACTGTATAATGCAATATGAACCATCTGCTATAATACAGTATCTTTCATTCGGTAACTTTTTTTTTTACATAAAAGTATATGGATATTAAATTTTATTGAAATAATCTTAACTCCTTTTTAACTCATAATTTAAGAGGGTATACCTACCTTATGAAGTACATCCTTAGTTTAAGAACATCCATTGTGTGTAGATGAACTTAAAAGTAGACTGAAACTTTCTCTCTCTCTCTCCATATATATATATATATATATATATAGAGAGAGAGAGAGTGACATAGGTAAATGTGTATTGATTATAGAGAGATCTTAAACAAATAATAGAAAATATAACCCCATAAAATAGTAGTCTGAATATTATCTGTTTAGTGTTGTATGATAAATTTAGTTGGAAGTATAATTACTTATTGAAACATCAACTCTGGAATTCATGTATATTCAGCTGACGAGTCCGAAATAGGACGAAACTCACATTTTGGATTTCACTGCTAGTTATCATCCATCATTGCTCATAATTAATTGAAACAGTTCAAATCAATAATAATTAAATTACAGCTACAGATACATGTGCATTGTTTCAAGTTCACATAATACATCAAGTCAATGTGGAATTAGCATGTTCGATAATAAGAGAATATAAATAATAAACTGTTAGTAATGAGTAGAAAGATTAAACATTAGGAATATTGTTTGAAAAAAATATATATATGGAGAAATACTAGTGTGGTATGGGTTACTGATATTCACATAACTAGTATATGGTGATGGTCAGACATAAAATGTATTTCAATAGAAAATCGATAAGGAGAGAACGGGAACGGCACTCAATTGGTATCAAAATGCATGAACAATTATAATCGAACACTATGGACAGATATTTGCAGAAGAAATAGTAAACATTAAGACAATTGATTGTTATTTTGCAAATTAACTGTTTGCTGTATGGTTATCAGAATTTAGTGAGATAGTCTGTAGTTTGTGCTTAAATACATTCCATTGTCTCCACCAGTGTTCTTGTTCACTACAATATGTAATTACATGACTTTCTACTAGTTAAGTGTTGAACACCTTTTGTATATTTAGGAACAGTACAATATGTACAAACTTTAACAATAACCAATAAAGTAAATAAATAATTTGCTGGTGATATCAATATATAATTGCACTACATACATAAAACTGATTTATAATAGTCAATATAGGATTGTGTAGATTGGTTAATTTCATTGGAATCACGAACTGGTCAAAATTAGACCACCGCTAGAAACCTGAAAGCAATAGATGGCTGTCTCGTCCAAGTATGGAACTCCTCGGCAGCGTTCAGCCACAATATCGTTATAGGGACCCGAAACCAGTACTCTCGATCCCCCACTCACGAACGCCTCAATGAATCCGTGACAAACAGTAATTTAAACACATCAGTAGTAGTCATACATTATCAGTTCAGTAGTCCAGTACTGTCTGTTACGGGGACGTGCCCTACACTTGGTTCAAATCCTATTATCCCGGAAACAGAACGTGCAAACAATGGATTATCCTGTTCCCAGAAAGACTATGTCTTGCTAATTGCTCATGAAAATGCTGCATTACCCGCCTACAAAGAAACGGGAAACAAATCGAGCAGTATAGTGAATACAGTTGCGCCATATGAAACTAGTCACGATGCGAAAAAAAGTTTCTAATGATCAGGATTCCCTAATTGTTCTGCCAGATATCGATTATTTTGATGATTCACATGTTCCTGTTGAAATCTCTTATAAAAATGGGAGGAAAATGTTGGATGCATTAAATGATAATCAAGAATCCAATATAATTTTCAGAGATACTGATTATCCCAATGATTAATTATCTACTAATGAGGTTCCGAATAAGTTCAAGGAAACTGTTTCCGAATAATCAGACGCTGGTGACCTCAAATCAAATGTCGTCGACTGTCACGATCTAATCAGTTCTGGTGGATTTTCTGTTAAATGAGACGAATATGTTTTAAATAATGTCTCATAAATGGTAATTTGGGTATATGAGGATCAAACACTCTTTCGTAGGGGAGGATGAATTCGAGAAATTTAAAATCCGGATATCAACTCCGGATCTCTCAAAAAATGGGAGGTGTTGTATCCCGAAGAGAATTGTGAATGGTAACTTTTGAGAACTATCTATGGACCAATGTAATATGTATATTTCCTATTGTATAATTGATAAGTAAATAAACTATTCACATTCGTGTCCCTCTTATTACAAGCTTCATTTTGACCTATGGAGTATTATTATATGATTTACCATTCCTGAGTTATCTCCAGTCTATTAATTAATGTTCCCCCTATTCACAACTACATTTGACCATATCTTGTACAAATGTTAATTTCTATTTTACGGTACGATGTGGTCAGTTTGTTTGGTTTATATACCCATTATGTTCGTGAATAATGATTCATATTGCAGAGGTTGTTATTGGTGCTCTGGACATTAACTGGCTGGGCTAGGCAGATAGCAGGACTGACAAGTAATCAATACAGCTCATAACGCTTTTTTGTGTATCATTGGGTGATCACTACTAAATTCACTACTCTCCAATTGGGCGTTCATATATTAAATTGGGCACATACGCGAGCAATCGATATAATAACTGGGCACGCACATGATAATTGTCAGTTTTTTGGATTGCAAAGACACTGAAAATAATCATAATTATTTGATTGCATTCTGTTTATTTTACTAATTCAACTGATCATTTGGTTAATTTACATACAAAAATTCATGATCTACATGAAGGAGGTATCATAATAGTTTTTATTATCACTAACATCAGTGACTTTATACAGAATATTAATTAAAGTAGTATTTAAGTAGTAAATATGAAATAAACTAAAATCATCACATCTATCGTAGAACTGTAGACAATACAATAATGAAAATGATCAATAATACTCCACCACCGATTGCAATTAATATCATCATTTTCTATAGAAAAGAAAGAAAAAATGAAATGGGAAAACTTGGAATTCAGTAAATCAAGTAGTATATATTCTATTGTAAAAGGTTAACTTTTAATATTGCATAAAGAGTAGAGGATATATACAGAAAGTTATAATGATGATAGATTGTTGAGATCATGAATCAATTGAAGCTAGATCATCATAGAAAACCTGGAAGCACTGGACGGACGTTCCGTCTTATTGTGGAGCTCGTCAGCAGTGAGTATCCACGATCCCACCCCGCGAAAGTCGAACTCAGGACCTATAGGTCTCGCGCCTCAGTGCTTAACCTGTATACCACTGAGCCGGCATCTAATGGTGCTAATGTCTAACTTCAAACAATCCATGAAATTGAGCAACCATTCACCAATGTTGGGAGATATCAACTCACTGATGATAGATTGATTGGATCCAGACATATCACGTGATTACATGCTATTTCAAGACCAAGTGTTAGATGAGAAATAATAGACAAAGAGCGTTTATCATAACTTTTACCAACGTTTTAGCTTATATACCTGAAGGTCATATATATATCAATGAGTTTTTTTATTCTTTTATTAGTTTTACCAGTGACCAATTACTAGTGATTCTTAATCTTTTCACATACGTATCAGGTCGGACTCGCTTATAAGAAGCATATGTAACTACATCCGAATCGGACGACTACAGAATGTAACAGATGATCACACTTTTCATGACTTCTTAAAATACAGGTTTTTTTCTTTTTTTTTTATTTCTCAGTTCACTATTTTTGTTTGAGTTTGTGATTAATAAGACAGTGTAATTATGGTATCTTACATAATTCGAAATATACTTATTATACATATCAATTTAAATATTTTTCCAGTTGAAATCATCAATCAATTGAAGCTAGACCACCATGGAAAACTTGAAAGCACTAGACGTCCGTTTCATCCTATTGTGGGACTCCTCAGCAGTGCGCATCCACGATCCTGCCTTGTGATATTCGAACCCAGGACCTACCAGTATCGCAGGCGAGCGCTTAACCTCCAGTGCTTCAAGGTTTTTCATGGTAGTCTAGCTTCAATTGACTCGTGATTTCAACTATAAAATTACTAAAATCTTCACAAAACCCCCTTCTTAAATGATTTTCATTAGGAAATTCTAATTTACAGAAAATCTATGTACACACAAAAAGTCACGTTATCAATGTATATGAAACTAGGATGTATATTTTATAGTTTAGAATATTCTAAATATTGTATCTTTGCAATGAAAAAAAGTCGTACTATTCAGATATTAATTGAAAAGCTAGTAATATACAATCTGTGCTCTGATTCATATTATCACATTTTAGCTACTCTAACAGATAATTTACCGTCAAGAATTTCAGTTCTTGTATGGCCGAGGGTAAGGAGAGTCAACTCTTCCTCACTAAATGCTCTCACATGGTCACGCGTATACAGCAACTTCCAGAGAAATCCTACTCATTGCCTTCTTGTGGCGGGGGTGTTGTTTACGAAATTTTGAGGATGAAAACCGAATGTCTGGTCCTTAAACCGGGTTGGTGGACACGAAGGATCCATAAAGAAAAGTTGAAATACCCTGATTTCAAACCGATGGTACACATGGGCTCCAGGATCCTGAGGGAACAAATAGCTTATGAACCTATTGTTGGTCACCAGCTACCATGAAACTACATTTCCTTATGTTGCATCATTGCCTTGTTGATCAGACGTTTAGGTCTAGGGCTTCAGGTGTGGTCCACTAAGACAAACACCTGCTTCGATTTGGGCACCCGGGTAGTAACCCAGACTACACACAAATCAAGTGACTTGTGTTGTGCATATATATTCGGTGCGCCCAATATTTATGTGTTCAAATAAATAAGTAATCTAACAAAGTAATGTCATTCACAAATACAAACAAGACTTTTAATAACATAAATGATTGATTTTGTGAATGAATCACTTTACTAAAGATTAAATTACTCCAAACTATTGAGGAACGATTTAGAAATTTAAAACACACCAAGATTTTTAAAGATATGCTAATTAAGATAGTTTGATTAAAATCAATTCATTTCAATGACATTAAACTTCCTATATAATATCAAAGGAAATAAATCCACTTCGTATTAACTGCTTGTATCTTCCCATTGATGTTTACGACTACAAGTGATCAGTCTCTTGTTAGTATATGTACATCTTGTGAAGATTGCCTTCAGTCAAAAACTTTATAAGCAAAAATGGATGGTGGTTAGCAACGGATAACACGATGTTGTTTGAAGCGAACGGTACTGCGTTCAAGTCCCAGAGTGAACATCAACTCTGAGATGGAGTTATACTGAGCTGACGAGTCCGACGTAGGACGAAATGCATGTCCTGGATTCCACTGCTAGCCACCATCCACCTTTGTAACAAACGAAATACCGCCTTTTCCCGTAAAATCTATGGAAAAATATTTCTAAATAAATTGTGACAGACATTCAAACAACATAGTTTATCATTTACTTATGTGATTTCAGAAAAAGAAAAAGTGAGTACAATTTAACAGATTCTAAATGTAGTTTATTGGCTGAGTGTTGACGAGCTGATGCTAAATAGCTCTTAAAAAGAAGAATACAGTAAACATTCTGACCAGAACTACATCTAAATATAGAATATTCATGAAAACATCATTTAAAAGAAAATAATGTTCCAAAAGTAAGTTATCAGTCAATTATTCTTTTATTAATTAATATCATAAAGACTGGATATTAGAGAAGATATAAGTTTATTGAAATAATCATCTATTCGATTGATATCATGAATTGATTGGTGTTAGACCATCATTGAAAACCTGGAAGCACTGGACAGCCGTTTCGTCCTAGCACGGGATTCCTCAGCAGTGCGTATCCACGATATCGCATGTGTGACTCGAAACCAGGATATTCGATCTCGCGCGTGAACACTTAACCACTAGACCATCGGTGTCAGTGTCTAACTTCAATCGATCCATGATCTTATGCAACCCTTAATCCATTGTCTGATGTATATAACTGTATCACACACGACACGGATTCGACTACACTGGTCATGGCTTCTCAATAGAAACCCAGGGAATCCATCTTGAAGCTAGTCACTTGTGAGTAAATGACTAGTATTATTATCAGAATGGAGATTTGTGGAGATTGTAGTAATTTTAACGGTTCATCAGCTCATTAATTCAACAGTTAATATTATTTAATAAACAGATTGAAAGAATTATGAGTACAGATAAATTGTGTTGTTATGGTAACTGACCGTTTTCTATGCTTAAATAACTCCAAATATTTACATTGAAGTTTTAGGAATTATTAAACAATTTGCCTATTATTGGTATTATTCAAAAACTCTTATTGTTACGTAACATCCTGTAAAAATAATTAATAACTGATAGATTACACTCTGCTCATCCATGCAATGTTCACAACGTTTGTTTTCTTTTGTCATTTTATTGAGGAATAAGTCACTTTCAGAGGGGGGTTATGTAGAGATTTTAGTAATTTAATAGTTGAATTCATGAGTCAATTAAAGCTGGACCACCATTGAGACCGATAGGTCTTGGGTTTGAATCTGGAGAGTGGGATCGTGAATGCACACTGCTGAGGAGCCCCATACTAAGATGAAACGGCCATCCAGTGCTTCCAGGTTTTTGCATATTAGTCTAACTCTATCAAGTCATTTTATTATATATGTGTGTGTGATGTAGATGTTATAACTTGATAACAGAGATTGGAAACATTCAAAGAATCTTTGAATGGTTCTATTTTTTGGCAAATAGTAGCCGTGATCAATGTAAATTTGAATTCTTAATATGAACAGGAATTAAGATACCGGAACTGTAGGTGGCTTTCTTTTGAAAGATGGAATTTCAATTGACAATAAGAAATATACAGTGTTACTGTATGGTTACATGATGAATATACTCAATGCCAGAAATGATATCTGTAATAGTGCACTAAATGAAAGCAGCATAGAAAACAGTAGTAGGTTAAGTGTAATACCTAACCATAGATATTCTTTTTGAATAAGAAGTAGCTGAGAACTATGTAACGTAAAAATGTTTTTGAAAGATAAAATTGCATAAACAGTGCTAATTGATTCGATGATTCTTCAATTTCGACTTAGGTTAAGAAGTACTGACCTAACCTAACTAGCTTTAGTTATGAAATTCGCAAACTATTTTTTAAGACAAATAAAGTTGTTTTTGTTCTACATTGTTAACCACATAAAACTACATGCATAGTGAACTTCTGTTGAGATAAATGTCAAATAAATAATCCTATGTATGTTTGGGCGATTATTTGCACCTTTAAGGTTCATGCTTTTTGAAAGATTTGAACAAAGATTACTAGGGAAAACTAGGATCAAAATAAGCGACTATTTGCTTTTACAGACAGAATTCAATGGGATGGTTTTAAACTTCTATAGGAGTATCGTTTCCTCTAGATAAGAGGAATTCTACTGTTCTTCATTTTTTAGAAAGGCTAAAATTTAGTTTCAGCGTTTTCTGGAGATAATATCAAATATTTGAGAGGGAACAATACGCAACAAAATTATTTTTTCCTAAAAAAGATGATGAAGTTGTTGGCAGCGATAAATCTGGCTTTCATCTTTTGAAACTCAACTTAAATGACATTTATCAAAAGGGGCTTCTGTGGAGATTTCAGTAATTTTATAGTTGAAATCATGAGTCCATTGAAGCTAGATCACCATGGAAAAACTTGACGGCCGTTCCGTCCTATTGTGGAAATCCTCAGCATCGCGCATCCACGACCTCCCCTCGCGAGATTCGAACCCAGGACATATCAGTTTCGCGCCAGAGCACTTAACCGATAGACCACTGCGCCGGCATCCGACGGTGTTAATGTCTAATTTCAACCAATCCACCAAATTGAGTAACCATTTCACCAATGTTTTCAGTGAGTTGATATCTCACAACACACCTGGTTGAACTTCACTGGTCACTGCTTCTCACTAGAACTCAAGGAAATATCTC